AGTAACGTCAATATTTACAAAGTAAAATTGTAAATTTTAAACGCAACGCTAAAAATTAAACTGTAATTATTGACTTGCTTGGACTGGTAATATGTATATTTTAAAAGTATAATTTTTACTGTTTGAAATGTTAAATTCTCCCAGAGTGAGACCTCTTTCTCTTTCATCTGAGTTCCCCTTCCCCTTTATTGAAATATGGCAATTTTTACTGTTTGAAACTGTAATTTTTTAAGATGAAAGAGTCGTTATTTACTATAGTGACAACTATCACTTATTTTGGATATTAAATTATAAATTGTGGCTTTTATACTTTCTACATTAAGTTCTGTAATATTTATATTTTTGCCACCCCGATGTCCGCTTTACTGTTTAAAACTATAAAAATTAACCGGAATCTGAGTCAATATTACAGTTTACTTTTTTCCGTGTATATTTTTTATTAGTCAATTAAATGTTAATAATTATTTATCGGAAATTTCCTCAAAAATGTTATTAACAAAAGTATTTCTACGGATTATTTTTTTATAGACATTCTTTACACTAGGAGAGTATTTGGATCTCCTTAGAAAATAAAAAAATATTTTTTATCAGTAAAAAATATTTCTACCACTCTTATAAATTAATCACTGTCTATTTATAAATTTACAATTTTAAAAATGGTTTACCCATTGTCAGTGAAACTAAATAATTTAGCTCTAACTATATGACGTTCCACAAACACACGCACACAATAATAGTATTGAGTAATTCAAATTTATCATATCATTAATAGATTTGATTAGGATAGATAAAGCGGATAGTTATTCACAGTATTATTTTGAACGGTAAGTGTGTAGTACTACTACTATACATGAAAAACGAGTTTTTATTTTCCATTTCGATGGACGACGAGGTTCGTTTAATTTTTTTTTTTTTAAATAGATCACGGTTTTAATTATTAACAATTTGAGTTCAAGTATATGTTTACATATATGTCTTCAATTAAGAAGAAATAAATTTTTCCGTGATTCAAATCGCAGAATTTATGGCGCTCAACAACAATAATAAATAATAATAAATAAAATGATGTGTAAATAGTCCTAGATAAATATAAAAGTATGTCAGGGTTTTCCTTTCTCTTTTCATTGATAATTTTTCACCATAAATTATTGCAATTTTTTTTTTTTTAATTCTTCTAAGAGAGTAAAGGCTCCAAATATTGACCAGTTTATATAAAATATACATAAATATATTATCTGTAAATTTATTAGAAGAGTTTGTAAGTTTAAACGAGTGTTTTAATTTTTTATAAATAATTTAATTGAATTTTTTATTGATATCTTGAAAAAAATATTTTACATATTTAATTTATAGAATTAAATATAATTATTAATTAAATCCAAAGTTTTATAGAAAATTTTATTAAAAAATTCAATTTTAATTAAAATTTTGAATAAATTCTTCAAATTTATTTTTTAAAAAATTTTTCAATGATTCTTAAGGATTGTAAATTTTTTGCTAATATTAAAAGTTATGATAATAGAGTAAAGGCTCTAAATATTGACCAGTTTAGATAAAATTAACATAAACACATTATTTGTATATTTATTGGACGAGTTTATCAGCTGAAACGAGTGTTTTCCTTTTTTTTTTTTATAGTTTTAACTTACAAACTATAATACTTTTGTTTATAAAATACATAATAATAAACATTTAATTGTAATAATTAACGTTACAGCCGATTGCTCCGAATATTGAACATTACTTACTAAATATTGACCTTGTATGTTCCAAATACTGACCAGTAGTATTATGCTTACTAGACTTGTAAATAATTTTTATTTAAAATCTATAATAGTTTGGACATTAGCTAATCTATTCACTGACATGTTAATAATTCAAGTATTGTTGTTAGTTGTTCTGTATTCTGATACAATATTATCTTCAGTACTCATATTTAAATCAATCTTTCAAGCTATACTAATATTAGATACATTGGATAATTTACAATACCAATTGTTGACCAGAGTATTATTTAAATTATCAACATGCTTTTTCTAACAAAAATAATTGATAATTAATCTTGGATATTAAATTGTTTTGACAAATACTTATTTATTGGTTATCAAGTATTTAATTTTATTTTCCCAAACTTATTTTTTTTACTGGATATATTTATGTGGATGCTTAAATTTTTATTTAATGTATAATTAAAAATTGATAATTACCTACTGAATATAAAATTAAATTAGATTTTTTAAAATCAAATTGTTATGCTGCCTGGTCAATATTCGGTTCTTTTTTCAGCCTCTGAAATTTTTTCACATTTTATATTAATTATAAATAAATAAATAAATTAATTTAGATATTTATTATTTCAGACTGAGAGTGAATACTCAGTGGAGGAGCAAACGAGACTGACGGGAGTGGATACCGGTGGAGATGAAGCTTCACCAGATGATGATGCCTCTCTGTGCGAATACCACGACATTCCGCCTCCTCCTGATGGGGGCTATGGGTGGGTGGTGGTTTTCGCTTCTTTCATGTGTAACATGATAGTTGACGGCATCGCGTATACGTTTGGAATATTTTTTGAGCAATTTGTGATCCATTTTGGAGAGAGCAAAGGAAAGACTGCGTGGGTCGGCTCTCTGTTGTCTGGGATGTACCTCAGTGCTGGTAATTATTTTTTTTTTTTATTGTTAAAAAAATGCTCAGTTATAATTACCCTGAAAAAAAAAAAAAAAAAATATATATTATTATTGACATAAAATTTTATACTTAACCTTTTTTGGAACAAACTAAAAATTGACAATATTGAATTTAGCGAACACCTGACAATTTTTTAGAACTTTTTTTTTTGACAACTAAATAATTATAATGAAAATTTTTTAGAAAATTTCACCCTTAGAATTAAAAAAGAATTTCGATTTTTTAAAAATATTTTCTTAGTAGTACTAATTTTCAAAATAAAACCAAAAAATAATCAAATATTAGCTAATTTCAAATTAATTAAAAAACAAAATTTCATACATAATCGCTTTTCGAATAAACTTTAAATTAAATTTTATACATAACCTATTTCTGAACAAACTTTAAATTATTTTAATCAAATTTTATACATAACCTCTTTTGGAACAAACTAAAAATTAATGATATTGAATTTAGTGGACATCTTACAATTAAAAAAAAAAATTTTTGACCATTAAATAATAATAATAACAATTTTTTATAAAATCTCACCCTTAAAATTGAAAAAAAAAAATTACATATATAATTTTCATAAAACATTTTCTTAGTACTGATTTTCGAAATAAGTTTATGATACTGAAGTTAGCTGACAGCTGTCAGTTTTTTTAAATTTCAGAACAAATCAATTAAATTAAAAAAAAAAAAAAATGCTTCTAAAAATTTTTTTTTTAATTTTCACATCTGGAAATTTTTCATTGAATTTTTTTCATAATAATTTCATTGCCACAAAATTCTAAAAAAATTTCCAAAGTTTGTAAACTCGAGAATTCATATAAATTCGCTAATTTCAGATTATGAATATTTTAAAAATAATTTGAATAAAATTTCATACATAACCTCACTTTAAACAAACTAAAACTTATTAAAATGCTTACAATTAATTAATTAAATAAATTTCAGGTCCAGTTGTTAGTGCATTGACAAATAGATATGGATGCAGAGCAGTGTGTATGGCAGGAAGTTTTATCGCTGCAACCGCATTTGTATTATCCACATTTGTTTCTTCTGTAAATATGCTTATGTTAGTTTACGGCGTTATGGGAGGTAAGTACTAAAATAAATCATCAAAATAAAAAATAAATCCAAAAATATTTACTACTTACTGGCATTTCTTTAATCACAACCTGAAAAAATATTTACAATTTTATTAATAAATATTTCTTCTTCAGGGATAGGTTTCGGACTGATCTACTTACCAGCAGTGGTCTGCGTGGGTTACTACTTTGAAACCAAAAGATCATTAGCGACAGGCATAGCAGTCTGCGGTTCCGGTTTCGGGACATTTGCTTTTGCGCCACTGGCTAATTTTTTAATCGACTCGTACAGCTGGAAGGGTGCTCACTTAATTTTAGCCGGGCTGATCCTCAACTGCGCGGTGTTCGGTGCTCTTATGCGCCCTCTGGAGTACCAGAAGCCTCCGTCGGTGAAGCCGCTGCTCCAGCGAATGGCAGAAGAGAAGCGGTTCCAAATGGAACGCGGTTCCATAGGCGGTTCCTACTTCATGGTTCAGCTGCCAGACGGTTCCATGGAGAAGCGGATGAAAATGCCGATTAATATCGACCCTGGTGTACATTCAAGCTTCAATTTAGACCAGCTCGTACCTGGTAAGTTTAAAAATATAATTGTTTTGATTTATAATTGAAAAAACTTCCAGAATTCAATTACTGTATCATTGAATAATTATAACATGTGCATATTACTCATAATAAATATACGGATTTTGTATTACAACATTTCGAAAAGTCTGTTCAAGGACTGGTCCCATTTTTATAAGTGTTCAAGTACTGGATATTTAACTAGTGACTGGAGATTGCTAGTGTTAATTAATTAAATTAATTATTGATATTTTTAGGTTACTACAATTCAGGAACACCGTTAACACCAGTACCGACTGTTCCAACCTTACCGACAATTTCTGAGGTTAAGGTCCAGGAACACTCCAGTGGCGCCACTAGCAAGAGTGGCAGCCTAGATCTCAAAAACTCAGTAATTAAGTCCAAGAGTAAAAAGTCTATAGATGAAACAGCTAATACCAAAGATTCTGTAATATCGGTGGACAAAACAGACAAGCCAGAGACGGAATTCAATAAACCGATCATACCGCGGAACGCTTCCCAGCCGGCGTTCACTACTCACGTGCAGGGACTTCCTAAGAACGGTTCAGTGCCATTTTTCGACCGGATCCGTAAGACTAGCACTGGGGAACGCTACAAGCCCAGTTTGAGTGCTATTAAGAACTCTAGGAATACTTTGAATAGTAATGGAGATATCAGGAAAAGCTTGCATTTAAGATTGTCTGCTAGCAGCATGTTGGGTTCCAGGAACAACAATATGGAGGCTGATGTGAGTAATATTTAGTGCTAATATTAATTCAAGGGATCATTCTGGTTCCAGCGCTGAAAAAAAGAATATATTCATTATTTTTTTACACAGAAACTATTATAGATATTGATATAAAATTTATTCAGCTCAACACGCACTCTTGAAACTTTATTTTTTTAGATATTTTTTATATGAATAAACAACGGGTGAACGGAGCTCTGACAAATCGTTGGTATAAAGCTCACGTACGTGATAACTTGATAGCGGCTCATCTAAAACACTAAAACCAAAATTATTTACCTTCAATATATAAGTAGCTCGCATCAGCCAAGGAGATTAATATTTATTGATAAATAACAGAGATTTAAAAAAAAAAAAAAACTGAAAATTGAGGCTTTTCTTCACAGTTTTGTAGTCCTAAAAAAATAAAAAAATGAAAATTTTGATTTGGTTGGAGCTGATGCAATAGCTACTGCTATGTAGAATATGTGGTTTAAATTTCATTAAGATCGGGTCAGTGGTTCCGGAGATATCATCTACGTAAACCAGAAAAACATAGTTCTGAGATAAACGCGTTTAAAGTTTTTTTAATTAAAAAAAAATCTTACCTAAAGTCAGCCAGCGACACCGGTACCATACAAAATTCCTCCAGCCTTTTCAAAAATTGTATTTTCTTCCACTCGAACATCCACATAAACCTCGTAATAAAATAATATAGTTACAGTGGTCCGATCACTTAAAAATTAAAACACAATACTTTTAGATATACTTTCGAAAAATGTAAAAAAAAATTTTTTTTTCAAAAGTTACAAACCAGAATGATCCTTTAATAATTTTTATGATCTACTTGCGTAAATTTTATTCAAAAAATAATACCAGCAAGAGACTTACAAAGACCAATAATTTAGAGCAAATTATACAAGACGTAGAGAACTTTAAAATTTAATTTTCGTAAAATTTGTTACTTCTAAACTGAGAGAAAAAATTTCTTCTGAAGAAAATTACAAGAAATAAATTTGTTGGAAATTTTCAATTTTATATTTTATCTAAAATCAAAATTGTCTTTAGTAATTTTCTTCTTGATAAAAATTTTTCTAGATTTAAAACAATTTTGGATGAAAATTCTCAAATTTTTTCAAAAGTTACAAATTATTTTTTTATTTAATTATTAATTATCAATTTTTTTTCAGGATGGCGAGAGTATAACCTTCACAACCAGTAAATCTAGTATCAATAAATCTAGTAAGCCAAAACCCGCAATAATTCGTCCTCTATCACGTAAGGATATTTTTTACAGCGGTAGTATAGTCAATTTACCCGAGTACCAGAGTCAAAAATCAATAGCCAATTACCGTCAGTCCGTTATTTCACTTCCCAAATCCGTCCGCGGTGACGCGCGTGACGGCGACATGGAAAAAGGTCCCGAACGTGAGTACTCTTAACCTACCGTAACTAATTACCCTAATAAGTACATTAATCATTTATGGCACGAATAATGGATGTTTAACGCTTAATAATTACTGTTGCAGAGTCACTATGTCCGTGTCTTGAATTACCAGAATCATTTAAAGAGGCCTTAGGAACAATGTTAGATATGTCACTGTTAAGAAATCCTGTATTTTTATTAATCGGAATAAGTAATGTGTTTGGTATGGCTGGTTTATATGTACCATTTTTTTATTTGGTTGATTCAGCTATTAAAGATGTAAGTAAATTGATTTTTTTGTTGATCTATACTGAGAAAAAAAATTATTTGAATTTATTTAACAGATATTTAATAAATTTATGAAATAAATTATGGCAAAAAAAATTGAAAAGAAGAAATTTTGAAATATCAAAAATTCAATTTTTTTTAAATAATTTTTTGGAACAAATTTTTTTGTTAAAAAAAATTAAAAGAATATGAATTTTTCTCACAATAATTTTCTTGTTGAAAATTTTTTTTTTAAATAAAAAAAAAATTTTAGACAGACAATTTGCTAATTTTTTTTTTCTCAAACCTGGAAAATATTTTTTTCAACAAATTAATTTATTATTTTTATTGAAAATAAATTTTTTCTCAGTGTGTACATAGAAAAAAAAAATTTTTTTTTTGAATCAAGAAAATAATTTTGAAGAACTTAATCTTTATAATTTTTTTTTTTTTTTTACTAAAAGTTAGGTTAGAAATAAATTAATTTAATTTTTTTCAATTTTAACAGGGAGTCGATCACCAACAAGCGCCATTTTTATTATCAATTATCGGTATTACAAATACCGTGGGACGTGTAATTTGTGGGTTTGTTGCCGATTTTCCACAAGTTAATTCGTTATTGTTGAACAATATTTGTCTGTTAGTGTCAACATTGTCAGTAGCAATGACGCCATTTTGTGAATCATATACTTCGTATATAATAATGGCGACATTTTTTGGTACTGCCATATGTAAGTATATAAATTAATAAAATTAATTATATTAATCTTACTGATAAATTTTTAAAATGAAAAATTAATTCACCTATTTTAATTCTTCAGCTGGTTACATTTCGCTGACGTCAATTATCCTGGTGGACTTACTAGGGTTAGATAAATTAACCAATGCATTTGGGTTATTAATATTGTTCCGTGGCGCTGCGGCGATTATGGGCGCTCCAATAGCTGGAAGCGTTTATGACGCAACTGGAAGCTATAGTATTCCATTTTTCATGGCAGCTTTCTTCTTTCTTATCAGTACTATCACTAGCTTCATGGCGCCAGCTCTTAAGCGTTGCACTACGCCACAGGTAATTTTTTAACTTTAAATGCTCTAATTTACGGATTTTAATACAGTAATATGAACAAATTTTCTTAGTTAAATTTTTTCATGCGACGGAAGGTTAATTTTAAGTAAGAAAATTAAAGGATAGATTATTAAAATTTGTAAATAAAAAATTACAGGCCCCGCCAGTGGTAATGGACGCCCTAACCCCAATAGATGAAGACATAGAAGAAGAAAACGAAGACGACATACCAGAAATAATAGAAACAGCACCTTCCCCATCGGACCCGCCTGAAAAAGAAATAAAGCAAATAGAGTCAGTTTTATAAACAATTAATTTATCAAAAGCTCTTATAATAATATTTTTTAAATACTTAATTAACTAATCAAAAATAGCACAATATTATTTCTTTGCTCATTACTTAATTAGCGAGTTAAAATTATAATTGTAAAACAATCAGTATCAATCAGCAGTATATTTAAAATTGAAAAATTAACATGATGCGCTTATGCAATTGCATATCGTTGATTTAATTATACTTAGAGTAATGGAAAAAAAAAAAAAAATAATAATAATAATAATAATAATTAACAATCACGAGAAGAATTTTTTTAAAAAATATATAAATATATATTTTTCCTTTAAGCTTTCTTATTAATCGTGATTAATCATTTTATTTGAATTATTGTGTGTACATATTAGTACATTATTAATTAACTGTTGCGGAATATTTGTAAATAATAAATTAATTAAAATAGTATAGTTAATTAGCAATAGACGCATCGTTCTTATATATATTTTATTATGTGACTTAATATTAATATTAATTAATTAAATAAACATTTATTAATATAAAAAATAATGGATTAATAAAACAAATAATTTTATTAATCCGCATCAGTTAATTTGTACTTATTTATATCTACTTTAATATTTATTAAGCTTTATAATAATAATTAATTAATTAATTAATTAATTAATTAAAAAAGGTGCCATAGGCATTTACGTTAAATTAATTTTAAAAATCAATCGCTCTTTTATTTGTTTTAATTGTGTGCGCACATGTGTGTATTTTTTGTATAAAATATAAGCTTGTATGTGTGCGTGTGTCTTTAAATAATTATTATGATTTATTAATAATTAATAATTGATAATAATAATAAAAGTATTTCTGTGCATTGCACTTAGCGCGAAGGATTAATTGATCTAGATAAATATATATGAATATATGAATAATAATAATAAATAATAATAATAATGAATAATATAATAATAAAGAAGAAATCTATTGCCTACGCGCATCGCACGCTGTTTTGTGCATATGTTAATTATGATATATATGATATGGTACAAAAAAGATTAATTAATTAAAGAGATGACGGTGATCAAGAAAATATACTACTATGTTTATCGAAATTGATATATATATATATATATATATAAAAATGAATTATGAATTTTTATTGAGGTGTAATTTTTTTTTAACCTTATTCTTTTTTATTAGATATAAATTTTTATAATTAAAGATCCTGATTTATAACTTTTGAAAAAATTTGTGGATCCAAAATTTCTTTTTCCTGAATCTAGAAAATGTTTTTTCTAGAAGAAAGTTACTGGAGACAATTTTGATTTTAGATAAAAAATAAAATTGAAAATTTCCAACAAATTTATTTCTTGTAATTTTCTTCAGAAGAAATTTTTTCTCTCAGTTTAGAAGTAACAAATTTTACGAAAATTAAATTTTAAAGTTCTCTACGTCTTGTATAATTTGTTCTAAATTATTGGTCTTTTTAAGTCTCTTGCTGGTATTATTTTTTGAATAAAATTTACGCAAGTAGATCATAAAAATTATTAAAGGATCATTCTGGTTTGTAACTTTTGAAAAAAAAATTTTTTTTTACATTTTTCGAAAGTATATCTAAAAGTATTGTGTTTTAATTTTAAGTGATCGGACCACTGTAACTATATTATTTTACGAGGTTTATGTGGATGTTCGAGTGGAAGAAAATACAATTTTTGAAAAGGCTGGAGGAATTTTGTATGGTACCGGTGTCGCTGGCTGACTTTAGGTAAGATTTTTTTTTAATTAAAAAAACTTTAAACGCGTTTATCTCAGAACTATGTTTTTCTGGTTTACGTAGATGATATCTCCGGAACCACTGACCCGATCTTAATGAAATTTAAACCACATATTCTACATAGCAGTAGCTATTGCATCAGCTCCAACCAAATCAAAATTTTCATTTTTTTATTTTTTTAGGACTACAAAACTGTGAAGAAAAGCCTCAATTTTCAGTTTTTTTTTTTTTTAAATCTCTGTTATTTATCAATAAATATTAATCTCCTTCGCTGATGCGAGCTACTTATATATTGAAGGTAAATAATTTTGGTTTTAGTGTTTTAGATGAGCCGCTATCAAGTTATCACGTACGTGAGCTTTATACCAACGTTTTGTCAGAGCTCCGTTCACCCGTTGTTTATTCATATAAAAAATATCTAAAAAAATAAAGTTAGATATTTTTAGTGTTATTCAAGAGTGCGTGTTGATTTGAATAAATTTTATATCAATATCTATAATAGTTTGTTTAAAAAATTAATGAATATTTGCTTTTTTTCAAGCTGTGGAACCAGAATTATTTCTTTTCTTCCTTAAATTTACTCTAAAAATTCAATTTTATCAATATTATCCCAAAAGTTTCCTCTAAATTCCATCAAAATACCTCTTTTTAACCAAAACTCAATCCTAACCAACAAAAATTTCCTATTTCTCCGGGGAATCCCAGACCCCAGCGCCATCCACCTCAAATTTTACCAACTACATCCTCTATCTTCCAATAAAAACCCGTATTTACCCTTCGAGCGGAAAAAACCTGAAAATAAAACATTCCACTCTTTTTTTTTTTAAATTCCACGATTGTATAATAATTAACATTCATAAACTAATTATCAAATATTAATATATATTCAAGAGTGTTATTGAGTTGAATAAATTTTATATCAATATTTATAACAGTTTCTGTATAAAAAAATAATGAATCTTATTTTTTTAAACTCTGGAACCAGAATTATTCCTTTTCTTCTCAAAATTTGCTCTAATTTAACCTAAAAAGGTATTTCTTTCCAATTTTATCTTCAATATTTAAAATTCTATTAATATTTTACCAAAAATTTCTCTAATTTCCTTCAAAATTCCTCTTTTTACCCAAAACTCAATCCTAACCACCAAAAATTTCCCATTTCCCCGGGGAATCCCAGACCCCAGCGCCATCTACCCAAAACTTTCCCAACTATATCTTATATTTTCCAATAAAAACCTGTATTTACCCTTCGAGTAGAAAAAAACCCATAAAAATAAAACTTCCACTATTTTTTTTTGCTCTGCAATTTTATAATAATTAGCTTCTATAAATTAATTATTAATCTATAAAAAAATAAAGTTAGATACTTAAGAGTATATGTCTTGATCTGAATAAATTTTATATCAATTATTTATAATAATTTTTATGTAAAAAAAAATGTTAAATAATTGCTTTTTTCAAACACTGGAACCAGAATTATTCCTTTTCTCAAAATTTTCTCTATTTTAATCTAAAAATTTATTTCTTCCCAACTTTATCTTCAATATTTAAAATTCTATTAATATATTACCAAAAATTGTTCTAATTTCTTTCAAAATTCCTCTTTTTACCCAAAACTCAACCTTAACCCCAAAAATTTCCCATTTCCCCGGGGAATCCCCGACCCCAGCGCCATCTCCCCTCAACATTCCCAACTACCTCAACCTCCCAATAAAAACCCGTATTTACCTTTTGTCGCGGAAAAAACCTGAAAATAAAACATTCCACTCTCTTTTTTTAAAATTCCACGATTGTATAATAATTAGCATATATAAATTAATTATTAATCGTACAATCTAAGAGTGAAAGGAATCCGTCTATAAAAATCCCGAATAAAAATACCAACTTTGCTTTTACAAATAAATAAATAAATAAATAAATAAATATAAATCCCACTAACAAAATAACACACGCATGCCCCCATTACCACCGCACATTATCTCAGAAGCCGACCCACTAAATTGTATCCGTCTGATCGCGTTTGGTAGCCAGCCAAAATTTTTTCTACCTCTTCCAGCCACGTCCGCTTCTCCCCTCTCTCTCTATTTTTCTTTTTGATACCATAGCACGTCATACCATATAATACACACACATTATCTCACACACTTAACTCATTTCTTCCATTATACTTAACTAAATTTCTTATTATTCAGTCTTCTTAACTCTCAAGCTCAATGCTCATCTTCACGTGTCATTTCTTCTCAATTTTTTTAATAATTATTATTAAAAATTCCTCAAAAATGTCTTTAAAAAAATAAGTGAAGAAATTATTAATTAAAATGGGTTAATTTAATTAAATTAATTATTTCTTCTTTGGTGATTAATTAATTAATTAATTTATTTATTTCTTCTTAAGTGTGTTTTTTTTTTTTTAATTTATTTATTAAAATTCGATGTGTTAAATTGCGTTTAAGTAACCGGTATTCGATACGATACCAATACAGAGGTTTGTTAATTTTATATATACATATATATGGATATATATCAATGTATATGAGATATATAAGAGATATATAATTCCCGTTGGCCTCCAGTCGATCTCGTGTGTGCGTGAGGTATAATTCGTATGAATATTTATTTTTTTAATCGATAATTTATTTATTTCTTCCCAGCTGAGAAGAAATATCAAAAGAAGAAATATAGTTTTTATTTTAAAAGAAGAATATAGTTTGTGTTTATATTTAAATAGTGAGTTTTAATTAGAAGAGAATTTTAGTTGGCGCGGAACCAAATTCCCAGCCACGTGTCTATTAAAAATTTATATCCGATAACACGTAATATTGTTGTTATCGGGCGAGATTCGCCGGACGGAAAGGGAGGTAATTTTTTGGCGGGGGAGTGGAAAATTTTTTAAGTGGATTTAAATCTAAAGTATTTATAAACTTTATTAAATGTTGAGGTTCCACGACCTCGTGGATATGTGTGCCTTTTTTTTATTTTTTTTTACTAGTTGCACTCTCCCGCCGAGGGTGCGCGCAACTCGATTGCGCATGTGACGCACGTGGTTGCCACTGTGTCAACACACGTGCGGATGGTTTTTTTTTATTTATTTTAGGTAGTCGGGGGTTTATTGTTATGATAATTTGTTGAGGAAAAATTTCCGATGGAAATTTTTTAATTAATTTTTTTTTATAAAAAAAAAATTTTGTGTGAAACTTAAGAAATTGAAAATTTTGAGGAAAATATCAAAAATATGTGAAGAGAAATTTTTTTTTTGAAGAGCTCTTTTTTTTTGGATAAGAAAATTTTTCAAATTTGGGAGAAATTTTTAAGAAGGAATAATGAAAAGAAAATTTTTTGGAGTATTTAGTGCTCTATCTTTACATAATTAAGAAGTGACCTTGTATCTTGGGAACTATTGATATTTTTTAAGATATAAGCTCATCCCGATGTTACACTCATCGAGACCTTTCATATGAGTACCCACATCAATTTTTCATATATTTTATATATTTATGAATATGTATATATGAATATATGAAAAATATATCAAAAATGCATGTGGGTACTCAATTGAAAGGTCTCGATGAGTGTAACATCAGGATGAGGTTATATCTTTAAAAATGTCAATACTTAAGAAAGTACAGTACGATCTAATAAAAGTCATTATTAAGTAAAGATCTTGTATCTTGTGAACTATTGACATTTTTAAAGATATAAGCTCATTCCGATGTTACACTCATCGAGACCTTTCATTTGAGTACCCACATCAATTTTTCATATATTTTATATGTTATATATATTTATATATTATATATATGTATATATGAAAAATATATCAATAATGCATGTGGGTACTCAAATGAAAGCTCTTGATGAGTGTAACATCAGGATGAGGTTATATCTTCATAAATGTCAAGATTTAAGAAAGTACAGTGCAATTTAACAAAAGTCATTATTTAGTAAAGACCTTGTATCTTGTGAACTATTGACATTTTTAAAGATATAAGCTCATTCTGATGTTACACTCATCGAGACCTTTCATTTGAATACCCACATAAATTTTTCATATATTTTATATATTTATATATATGTATATATGAAAAATATATCAAAAATGCATGTGGGTACTCAAATGAAAGCTCTTGATGAGTGTAACATCAGAATGAGCTTATATCTTTAAAAATCTCAATATTAAAGAAAGTACAGTGCAATTCAACAGTAGTCATTATTTAATAAAGCAAAATTTTATTTACTTATAGTTCGCAAGTCACAGCAGACACGTAGTGACTGGAAGGTTGCTAGTTTATTTTTAAGAAGAAATATTGAAGAAAAAAAATTTCTTCCTAAAATTGAAAAATATTAAAAATAAAAGTAAAATTCTTAATTAATTAAAAAAATTTTTTTTAATCAATTATCTTTAAAATATATTGTTGAAAAAAAAAAGATTTTTTTTTAGTTAAAAAATTACATTAATTAAAAGGAACAAACTTTGCTTGCGCATGCGCAGAGTAAAAATTGATATTTAGGAACCGCGCGTAAATATTTTCCAAGTTTATCACTCAGTTTAAAGATTTAATTAAGAGAATAATTAAAAAATAAAAATATTATTCTTCACAGCTTTTAACAATTAATTATCTTATATACGTAATATTTATTCCAAGCTTTGGAATTTTACTCAACACTTAACATAAAAGAAGCATAAATTATTTTAAAACTCCTAATAATTTATCGCCTTTAGAAAACTTGTTAAATTTATGACACAGTATATTTCTATAAATGTCTCGTCTCTTTCTTCGAACAAAGCGTATTTTCTTGGTAATTATAGATTATTAATCACCTGCATTTATAAATTTTTCTAAAATAATTTTATTATTACAACAAATATTATTCCGAAAAAAATAAAAACCGTCCGGTATCGCTAAAAAATAGATTAAATAACCTCATTGATATAAATATATCATGTAAGTCATTTTGATTTATTTATATTCCATATATCTTATTTTAATATAATATTATCATTATTTCAACTCGTTTGATAGAAGAGAGATGTTAGTAAATAAATAACTAAAATAATATAAAACAATTGTAAATACTAAAACGAAACTTTTTTTTTTTTTTTTTTTGACGATAAGGCCCGAGAGCTTAAGTGAACTTTGTACGCTCTCATTTAATTACACATATTTTTCTCAATGAATTTTTAAAACATATTTCAGTTCACAGAAACATCACGAGTGAGATGTTATGCTGACGGATATTTATGCCCCTTTATTTTCATTTTTCACGTTATTTTATTTTTTTATAATTTTATAATGTAGGACTATCAAAGATCTTTGTTCGTCAGTTCGTATCCGTTTATATTTTTGTGTTAGTCATTTTCTTTGTGGTCTTTATTAATCATAGAGGTTAATAATCTCTGAAACTTTGTTGATGCCAGTATTTTTTTATAAAAAAAAAAAAAATAAATAAATAAATTACACACAACGGGATTCGAACCCTAGAAAGTTATTTTGAATTTAAAAAACGTCATTTTTTAAAACAAAAATATTTCACAATTCTTTAAAAAAATTAATTTAGCAATTTATAACAAATAAATTATGGCCAAAAAAATTGACATGTAGAAATTTGTAAAAATAAAAAATGCAATTTTTTAAAAATAATTTTTTGTTAAATAAAATTAAAAAATTGTCAAGTGACTGGTAACTTTAATGTCATAGTAAAAAAATATTTTTTAAAAATTGCACTTGAAATTTTTAAAATTTTCTAAATGTCAATTTTTTCAATAAAAAAATTCTAAAAATTTTCAATGGGTAATTTAATTTTCATAAAAAATTTTTTGTAAGCCAAAGGATGTATGTTTATAATTATACGCCCTTTTGAGTTGAGGAACTTCAAAATTTAGTGATCTAAAGCCAAGAAGGCGTAGAAAATTTTTTTTGTCAATCTTTGCAAGCAAATTCTAAGCTTAAAAATGAAAAAAAAAATTTCAAAAGCCAAAAGGGCGTATTTATAAAAATATTTGCCCTTTTGGCTTTAGAAATTAAAAAATTTAGTGATCTAAAGCCAAAAGGGCGTAGAAATTTTTATTGGGATTTAATTGTCTTATTAATCGATTGGGTACCTTTGTATCTCTAGTTGATCTTCATACCCTGAGTATTATTTTGATCTAGCTTTATTTTTCATGAAAATTAAGTTAGCCGACATCTAATAATTTTTAGAATTTTTTTTATTGAAAAAATTATTACAAAAAAATAAAAAAAAATTTTCATTTGTAAAAAACTTTAAAAACTCCAAGTGGAATTTTTAAAAAATATTTTTTAGTTCTAATTTAATGATAAAAAAAATGAAAAAATTAAAAACGTCGGCTAACCTTAGTATTATTTATTTTTCGAGCTTGTTGCCAATCTTTTGTATTAAAACATCTATTTTTTTTCTTCGCTCTTTTGGCTTTAAGAGAATTTATCTTAAAGCCAAAAGGGCGTATAGAGATCCTTTTGGCTTTAGTAATTCTGAAAATTTTTTTTATGCTGACCTTAACGTTTTGAATAATTTTGAGGAATGGCAATAAAATTTTTTTATCCACCCTTTTATACACGATAAAAGCCCGAATTATTGACAAAGGTCTGAATATTGACACCCTAAATTATATTTAAATATATTTAATCATCTGTAATAAGAATAACTATCATATAAATTTTTATTAAATTCTAATTAATTAAAAAATTGAAAAAAATTACTATTCAAAATATTAAATATTAATTATTAAAAAAAAATAAAGAGCACGAGATCAAACCTTACGAACGTTTATTTTCTTAACAACTTTGATTAGAAAAGCATTTTTTTTAAATGCTGTTTAAATTAATTTCTTCATCTAATTATATGATCTTTTTTTTTTTTAATTAACAATTTATGAAAAATTTATAAAATTGAATAATCAAAATTAATTGTTTCCTTTATAATATTTAAATAATGGCTGTCAATAACTAGTTGATAATTTTTAAGTTGAATCTCATATTGACAGCCATTCGACAGCGCTATCACGCCTTTTTTTTACTTTAACCTAAAAAATTTACTGTAAGAGTTTGAACTCTTCTGATTCAATAAATTATTTTTAAATTAATTTTTATATTTTTAAAAGTAATTAATCATTTATGGAAATTATTATTAATAAACTTTAATAATATTGATTACTTAATAATAAGTTTCGATAAATAAGAATAAGCAGATGATTCGACGCATGCGCAGTATAGGTGTCAATAATTGGGGCTAAGGTATGTCAATAATTAGATCAATCAGTTTTTTAACTTGTCAATCAGTGTATCCGGATACTCTATTTAATTATTTAAAATTAATTAGTAAATTTCACTGATTATGATTTAAAAAAAAGAAATTGATTAGTAAAAACATTACTTGAGACATTACCACAAACAAAATTCAACGATATTGATATTTGATTGCTTAAAAAAAATCAAATCATAACTTTGTCTCTTAGCGTCAATAATTCGGGCTTTTACCTTAGATCTCATTAAAAAAAAATTTTTTTTTTTTTAAATAAATGTTTTTATTTATTTTTGTTAAAAAAATTACTTTACTCGGGACTCGAACCCGCTACCTTTAAATTGCAATAATTTCAAAGAATCTTACAATAATTTCTCAATAAAAAATCAAAATATCAGATACAAAAAAAATTTTCTTTATAATTGAATTATATATTTTTTTTTAATAAATCATTTATTAAAAAATTCTTTCAAATTTAGAAGAAAAAAAAAATTACTCGACCTAAAATTCAAACCCGCAACCTCTAAAATCCACTTAAACTAAAATTTCTAAAAGCTTTCTATAATTTCTCACTAAAAATTCTTCACCCTTTAAATTTAAACTAGGCCAATTTCTAATTTTTTAACTTCCAAAAATTTCCTAAAAATTTCTTCAGTTAATTTCCAAATTGCCTTAATAAAGAAATAAAAAAACTAACAATAAACTTATTAATTTACAAACTCGTCTGGTAGATTTATAGTTACAATATAGTAAAAAAAATTTCGGAAATTCTTTGATAAGAGAACTCCCACTTGACAACAATAAATAAAAAGGGAGTCTAATTACTGTTGCTTAAATGTCTTTATTGTATTAAATAAAAAATATTTTTTTCTTCGACAGTATCTAAAAAATAATTCTCACTGAGTTCTCGTATCAAAGTCAAATACATCCAGTGTTTACTTTTCGAGAATATAATTTGAAATAATCATTTTTATAATAAATAATAATCGTTCTATAAATCAGTAAGCAAACAGAGATTAAAAAATAGGCTCGTTAAACTTTAATTATATTAATTTTTGTTATCGGCAGTGTCCTACGTCTACTCCATTAAATTATAGGTACACTTTATACTTTATACTTTACTTATTACTTATTATTATATTGTACTAATACTGTAACCAAACATACGGACAATCTTTTTATGAGTGTATTTGTGTGATCTGATGAAACAGTACGTCCCGAGACACGATTCAAGACGCACCGATTTTTAAAAGGTCTCGTGTACCGGCACCGGTCTTTCTTTTTATTTGTTACTAATTATTACCGTCAATAAAAATATATATTTTTTGTTTATGTAAGTCGTTTACTTTTTTTAATTAATTTTACTTGATTTTAACAGCCGATTCTCAAGTCGCTCATCGGATATTTATTTTTATTCATTTGGACAAGTGTGGCTTTATTTTATCTTTTTTTTTTCTTTTTTATGTAACAATTAATTCTTTTTTAATTATTAATTACAATAATATTGTTTTTATCTTTTAATAAGTTATTTTGAATGTTTGGAATTTTTTTTTAAGCAAAAAGTTTATTTCTTCTTTTTCAAAATTTTATTTCTTCTTTTAAAATGTTATTATTTTTTTTTTATTTATTCCTTCTCTTTCAAAATTTTATTTCTTCTTTTAAAACACTTATTTCTTCCTTTTTTAAATTTATTTTTTATAAAAATTCATTAAAAAAAATTCTTTTAAAAAATTAATTATTTTTTAATTCATTTCTTCTTTTAAAATGTTTACTTTTCTTTTTTCATTTATTTCCTCTTTTTTAAAATTTTATGACTTCTTTCGGAACAATTAATTTCTTCCTTGTAACAATTAATTAAAAAAAATTTATTTCTTCTCTTAAAATACGTATTTTTGTTTTCATTAATTTATTTATAAAAATTCATTAAAAATTTTTTTATTTCTTCTTTTAAAAAATCTGTTAGTATTTTTTTAATTTATTTCTTCTTTTAAAACATTTGTTTCTTTTTTTTAAATTTTATTTCTTCTTTTAAAAAAATTTACTAATTATTTTTTGTTTAATAAAATTCTATATATTTAAAAACAATTTATTTCTTCTTTGAATAGCAATTAATGTTTTTATTCATTTCTTCTTTATAATAATTAATTCTTAAAAAAAAATTGATTTAAAATTTAACCTAAAAATAATTTTAAATATTTTTAAAACTTAATTATATAACTTAAAAAAATCAGTAATTAAAATTGAAAAAAAAAGAAGAAAAGTGATGAAATAAATTTAATTGATAAAAATTTTTCCAGTGTGTTAAAAAAAAAAGAAGAAATCGAAGGAAAAAAACCGAACAGAAAACTGATAAAATAAAAAAAATTAAAATACCGGATTCTTATTTGAATGAATCAGAACTTAATTAATTATACAAAGAATAAATGTTAATATAAATATAAAAATAAAAAAGTAAATAAATAATGATATACACGGCACACGGTGCACGGGGTGATTTAAATTGAAGGCCGTTAAAAGAGTTCGCGACACCAAGTCAAGGTCTTTCAAAAAATTTAACGTTAATTCATGGAGCAAGAGAGCGAGAGAGAGGAAGGGCTCCAATAAATAAAAATTAACTAGTAAAAGTGACCAGAGAATAATAGAATAATTCGGAAGTCAATCCCTTCGACTATAATAGTTTTTGTCGGCATTTTTTATTATTATTATTATTATTATTATTAATATTAGTTTTATTGTTATTGAAGTTGAGTAGTAACTTGATTAAACTTGATCTTTAATACGTTGAAGTTCATGATTTATTCCTCAGAGACTTAAATACTTCTCGAGAATCATTCATATCTTCACCGACCTTAATTTGAATTTAAATTCTTTTATAATATAATTTTTCTGCTTCTGCGGTTGATATTTCCCTTGGGATCTTTAAATAGTTTAACTTGATAATCATCCTTTACTTTCAAGAAGTTGGGTTGAGAAAATTCTTCTTCCCAGAAGATCTTTTTTAATTCATAAAAAAGATGTTTGTAATTTTTTTATTAATGTGTTTTTTCTTGAAGTTTAAAAAATATAATTAAGAAAATACAAAATTTCAATTTTTAAGTTTTTTATGCAAAAAAGCTAGATAGTGAAACTAAATAATTAACAAGCTTGAAAGCAATTGATTAAAAAAATAACACCTATGTTTTTTATTAACAAAGTATTGATAAGTTTTAAATCAATGAGTCAGTACGATATCTAATAAATAGAGAAAATAATAACAATGTTGGATAAATCGATTTATTAAATGTTGATAAGTTATGTTGACTCAACTATGACGTTTGATGGAATTTTTATTCCCTAAAATAAATTGTTATCTTCTAGTAATTATTATTTTACTAATTTACAATTAAAAGAATCAAACTTTTAGATTAAACAATAATAAGTTTGAGTTTAATATAAATAATCAGCAAACAAATAATTTACATATCATGTGAAGAAATATACAAAGTACATATAAGTACTCCTCGAGAACGAGTCGGTAAAATTAAATAGACTTTTTTGTAAATACAATTGATAACCAACATTATTATTTGACTTACAAACTAATTACCGCTAATATTTTAATTGTCAATCAATAAAATTATAAAAATATATCGGTGTGTAATATACTTACCTACTTTAACCTTTTACCGTCGAGAATCCACTTTGTAACTTCGTAACTTTGTAACTTTATAACTCCGTTAAATTTTTAGTCGGCGTGCATCTGAAAAAATGATATTGTTAATAAATAAATACTAGCAAAAAATTTCATTTAAATAAAAAAGAATTATAAATTTGACAGATAAGTTTAACCTCTGTGGATTGAGGTTAGGAATTTCTTCCCAATTCCCGGCAAATTTTCTTATACTTTTTTATATTATATCACTCAGTAACTTTGTTTGTTACATTAATTCTCAAATATAAACATTAAAATATAAACCATACCTTATTATTTAATTGGATTCTGTCAACAATGTCAGCTTCAACAAACATGTCTGATGCTTACCGGCGGTACCGCTGGTGGCGCAGCGTTCTGTCAAATGAAAATAATTTTCAAAAATTCCAATAACAATAAATAAAACTTACAATTTAATATTTAAACAAAATGTCGAAAATTTTGTCTATTAAAAACAAGTTAAATAATGATAAAGAAGAAATATTACTTACAACTGACTAATTGAATTAACAATGACGAAATATATTTTTTATAATTGATAAGCAAGTGCAATTACCGCGTGACAGATAAAAACATTGGCTTGTTAATTCCCTCATGTTTTTTTATTTCTTCATTAATAATTATCAATGTGTATTTAATATGAATTATAAGTATAAATATAAATGAAATGTATGTGATGTAATTACAGTTTGATGCCCTTGTCGTGGCAGTGATCGTACGACTATGGCCCCGTCATCAACAACAGAAAGCAAAAGTGACTGTTGTGAATCAACGAAACACCCACCGGAAAACAATCTTAAGAATGGAAACGGAAAGGTTAATGAAGAAATACAACTGGATGACTGCAATGATAGTGACAGTGAGGTAAGTTATTATTATTATTATTATTACTATAATAATTATAATACTCCCGGTAAAGTTTCCGCGCCGGTAATTTAACCGAAGTAATGTTTCCGTAAAGTGCAATTTTACCGTATTAATTTTTTTTTTTTAGGTTGAAGTGGATATGGTGGTGCCACCTGATGGTGGATGGGGTTGGGTAATTGTTGCTGCTTCATTCATGTGCAATGTCATTGTTGATGGAATAATATTTAGTTTTGGTACATTTTTAGACCCGATTGCTCAAGAATTTAAAGTTAATAAGTCGAGGGTCGCTTTTGCTAGTTCTTTACAAACTGGATTTTATTTAATGGCTGGTAAGTTTTTTTATTAATTAAAATTAATTTAATAAAATAATAAAGTTAGCCGACATTTTTAATTTTTTGATTTTGCTTCATTCATTAAATTAGAACTAAAAAATGTTTTTTTAAAATTGCACTTAGAGTTTTTCAAATTTTCTACAAGTCAATTTTTTTTTCAATAAAAAAAATTTTTAAATGTCAGCTAGCTTAACTTTCATATTAATTTAGGTAGCAGATATTTTATAATTTTAATAATTTTTATAATAAATAAAATATGGCAAAAAAATTTTTTGTTTTTTAAATTGACATGTAGAAATTTAAAAAAATTAGAAATGTAATTTTTTGAATAAAGTGTGAAAAATTTAGCAGATTTTTAATAATTTTTAGAATTTTTTTTAACAAATAAATTATAGAAAAAAAGAATATAAAAAAATTGATATGTAGAGATTTTAAAAAATAAAAAATGCAATTTTTTTTAAATAATTTTTTGAAGCAAATTTACAAAAAAAAATTAAAAAATTCTCTAGTGACTGCTAACTTTAATATCATTGAAAAATTACACGTACAATTTTTGAAAATATTATTTTAGTCTTAATTATCTTTTTAATTAATAAAAAAAATTAAAAATTGTTAAATGTCGTCTAACTTTAATATCACACTTTTCTAAAATAATTTTTTTGAAGAAATTTGTTAATTAAAGAAAATTAAAAAATTGTGAAGTGACCGCTAAATTTAATATCATTTTTAATTATATAAAAATGAAATTAGCAGACATTTAAAAACTATTAGGATTTTTTAAGATGAAAATTAAATTATTTTGTTATTTTAAAAATTTTCAACTTCCCGCTAAGAAAATCGAAGATTTTTTTTTTATTAAAAAAATTAATTTAAAAAAATTAAAAACAAATTGGAAAAATCATACATGAAATTTTTTAAAATTGTTTTTTTTTTCTTGTAATTTAATTTTTTTATGATACTAAAGTCAGCTAATATCTGTAAATTTTTAAAATTCTTACTAAATAATAAAAATTTTTTTAAAAATTTCCATTAATTATTTTTTTATTAATTTTTACATTTAAAATTTTTTTAATAATAATTTTATTGCTAAAAAAATTTCTAATGTTAATTTCAGTGTCATAATTTTTATTATAAAAATTAATAAAAAAAATTTTTTTAGTTATAATTAAATTAATAAAAAAAATTTTGAAGGTCTGCCGATTTCAGTGTCATTTTTTATTCCTCATAATAAATAATAATTAATAAATTTAAACAGACTTGTGAAGGTGTCATTAATTATTCAATGTGTAAATAAATAATTTATTAGAATTAGAATAAAAAAAAAAATAAAATAAAATAAGAGTAAATGTTTCAGGACCATTCGTATCAGCTTTAGCAAACAGATATGGATTTAGACTGGTAGCAATTAGTGGGAGTGTCATCAGTTGCCTGGCATTCGTATTATCTTACTTCAGTACATCCATCGAATTTCTATACTTCTCCTACGGCCTTATCGGTAAATCTCATTATATTTTATTTCATCATATTTAATCTACTTAAATCTATTTATATGTTATTTTACATTAGATATTACATTACTCATAAGTGTATAGATAATACCAGGGACAATGCACTTGATTATTGATCTAATAAACACCTTATCATATTTTTTAGACTCTTGAAATTCCGATAGTGTGAATAGATTAAAATAAAAAAATTAACACTAAATTTTTTCCTCTAATTAACAAAAATTAACCTATTTTAATTTCTATTATAAAAGGTGGAATTGGTGCTGGGTTAATTTACGTTCCTGCAGTAATAACAGCGGGATTTTACTTCGAAAGATGGCGAGCCTTAGCAACGGGTATCGCGGTCTGCGGGTCTGGAATTGGAGCTTTCGTCCTGGCTCCAGTGTCTCAACTGCTAGTCAAAAAATTCAATTGGAGACAAGCGCTGCTGATCCAATCCGGTGAGTCCTAAAAAACATGTATAATTTTAGATAGCATCAATTTTAATCAAAATTAATGTTCATTTAATATCAGGGATGTTGCTAACCTGCACAATTTGCGGGGCGATGTTCCGTCCCCTAAAGCCCACAAGAATAAAGGTCAAGAAGTCCGAGGTGGCCCAAGAAGCAATAGAAGAGGTTAAAAGCCCATTGGTCAACGGGAAGAGCGCTTCCACTCATTCTCTACGAGGCAGTCAGTATTTGTCTGTAGGGTGGATTTTTGGGACGAATAATAACGCGGAATATCCTACTGCTGCGCAAGTTATAGCCAGTAATCCAAATATAGTCAAGTAAGTGCTTTTTTTCTTCGAAAAAAAGCTTATATTAGAGTTTTTTAATAAACTCCGCCCATTCTTCCCCTTCTACTAATCGTTGCCTAGCAACTGAGCTTAGCTCCGCCCCTTCATAGCAACCCGGCCTTAGTCACGCCCCCTCCATAGCAACCCAGTCTAAGTCACGCCCATTTTGCCGCCTTTTTAGTTTTAAACCCGGAAAAAATTATTTTTAAAGTGTTTAAAGCTGTAGTGTGTTACTAATGATGATTTTTATTAATAATTAATAATTAATAATTAATTTTAATTAATAATTTACAGATCAATTCACTCAGCGCACAATATATTAGGTCTGAATGGAGATTTACAGCTGAGTTCCTCGGAAAAACGATTGTCAGTTCCGCTTTACTCAGATTTAGACGTAAAGAGCAGTGAAGCTAAAGAAGAAGAAAATAATTTACTTGACGGAAGTGACCTAGAAAAACTCAATGGAGGATTATCAACAACGGTATGGAATATTACGTGTACTAATGATAATGATTGATGATTTATTGGTATCTAGGTACATGTGTGTTTAACTTGATGAAGAAATATGTTATCGTTTGTTATTAATCTTAATATTAACATCAGATAATTGATATATATCAAATCAATTATCTATCCAGCAGTTGCTGTCGAATTGAATTACTACGATAAAGTAATGACCTAGATAATGATAATTTTTTAAATATTTATGTATGCCTTGTGGTGTTACTATTAATGTAGTTATCTATTTATTGTTATGAAATATTTAATGTTTCAGTTGCAAGTTCGTCGACACACAATAAGCGGTCGTCGTGATCATGGAAGTCAGTTATCATTAAAGAAAGCCGGAAGCAAACGTCATCAACCAACGTCTAAAGATCCTCAACGACCGTTTTATCGCGATGATATTTTTTATGGCGGCTCGCTCGCAAGATTGCCGCATTATAAATCACAAGTAAATTTTATTTTTATTACTAATTATTTTGTTTAAATTACCAAAAAAATTTTAGATGCAAAGGGGGTAAATTGAACCAATAGCCCTAAATATCGATTATAAAAAAATATCCTTGCTAAATTGGATTTCAATTAAAGGATGAAATTTTATGAAAATACATAATCTATATTGTTAAAGAGAATAAGAAAAATTTGGTGTCCTGAATAGATAAATAGTACCATATGATAAAATCAATTTTTTTAGTGAAATTTAGTGTCATTACAAAGGTCTTGACTTGAATTTGTGCCCTTTCAAGGTTTCAGATCATTCTCATCGATAGTCAATTTATTATGAAAAGTATATAGGCTGCATTCGAAAATACTCTATAAAATACTCTATCTCTAGATACATAATTAATAAATTACTTTGTATCTTGAGAACTATTGACATTTTTAAAGATATAAGCTCATCCCGATGTTAGACTCATCAAGACCTTTCATTTAAGTACCCACATCAACTTTTCATAAATTTTTCATATATACATATTTATAATGTATATAAATATATGAAATATATGAAAAATTGATGTGGGTACTCAAATGAAAGGTCTCGATGAGTGTAACATCATGATGAGCTTATATTTTTAAAAATATGATAAATTGACAAAATACAACACAATTTCTTAATTAATGAAATTTTTAAAGATATAAGCTCACCCCGACATTATACTTATCGAGACCTTTCATTTGAATACCTACACTAAGTTTTCATATATTTCATATATTTATATATATCATAAATATGTATATATGAAAAATATATCAAAAATGCATGTGGGTACTCAAATGAAAGCTCTTGATGAGTGTAACATCAAGATGAGCTTATATCTCTAGAAATATCAATAATTAAAAAATGACCTTGTATTTTGAGAACTATTCAGCCACAATCAGTATACTTAAAACTTTTAAAAACTACAGATTAATTTTACAACTTTACTTTTTGACTTTAAATTCAAATTTTGAAGAAAAAAATAGAGATAGAACAAAAGTGATCTATCATTTTTTTTTTTAATTCAATTAAAAAGAAATATCAAAAGATTTTTTAATCAAATTGACCCCTTCTCTGCTAATTAATAGAATAAAAATAATTTTCCGTCTGTTTTATAAATAAAACTAATAAATAATTAATTTAAAATCAACAGTTGTCTTCAGTGGGTTATCATATGTCCGTAACGCGGCTACCAACAACAACAGATGTAGAGGAAGAGAAAAGCGGCCGGTGTTATCTCTACCCAGAAGGAGTGTCACGTATTCTTGTGACAATGTTAGACATCCAGCTATTAAAAAGTCCGTCTTTTTTTATCCTCGCTATCAGCGGCGGGCTTACGATGATGGGTTTCTTCGCCCCATTCACTTATCTTCCGGGTACTTATTATTATCATCAATTCAATTACTATTACAATAGCTTACATTAAGTTGATTAAATATTTATCATTATTGTTATTGTTTCTGTCTACAGACCGCGGGATGTCTTACGGTTTCGACAATGAGACGGCGACATTTTTGGTATCGACTATTGGAATCACAAACACCGTAGGACGTATTCTTTGCGGAACCTCGACGAGTTTACCAGGCGTAGACGCACTTGTTGTTAATAATGTATTAATTAGTATTAGTGGTATCATTACTATTATATCAGCATTATCATACTCTAAAGCCTATCAATTTTTTTATGCTGCTGTCTATGGATCTAGTGTTTGTAAGTATTTTATGAGAATATTGAATTACCTCATTGAGGTAAAAATAATTTTCATAGTTTTTTAAGATAGAATTTAGATAGTAATCTATAATATTAAGAGAATAAAAAAAATTTTGTGTCCAGGATAGTCATATGATAAAATAGGTTTAATTATTTAGGCTGCATTCAAAAATGCTCTATCTCTAGATACATAATTAAGAAATGACCTTGTATCCTGTGAAATATTGACATTTTTAAAGATATAAGCTCATTACGATGTTACACTTATCGAGGCCTTTCATATGAGTACCCACATCAATTTTTCATATATTTCATATATTTATATATATTATGAATTTGTATATATGAAAAATATATCAAGTATGCATGTGGGTACTCAAATGAAAGCTCTTGATGAGTGTAACATCGGGATGAGCTTATATCTTTAAAAATATCAATAATTAAGAAATGACCTTGTATCTTGAGAACTATTGACATTTTTAAAGATATAAGCTCACCTCGACATTACATTCATCGAGACTTTTCATTTGAATACCCACATCAATTTTTTTTATATTTATATATATTATATATATGTATATATGAAAAATATATAAAAATGCATGTGGGTACTCGAATGAAAATTCTCGATGAGTGTAACATCAGGATGAGCTTACATCTTTAAAAATATCAATAGTTAAGAACTGACTTAGCTATATTGACAACTAATGATATTTTTGAAGATATAAGCTCATCTCGACATTACACTCATTGAGACCTTTCATTTGAGTACCCACATGCATTTTGATATATTTTTCATATATACATATATAAAATATATATAAATATATGAAAAATTGATGTTGGTACTCAAATGAAAGCTCTTAATGAGTGTAACATCGGGATGAGCTTATATCTTTAAAAATGTCAATAGTTAAGAAAGTACAGTGCAATTATTAGTTTTATAATTATTTAAATTGACTATTTTTTTTTAGCTGCCTTCGCTGCACTCAGGTCTATCCTTGTCGTTGAACTCGTGGGATTAGAAAAACTTACAAATGCATTTGGACTATTGTTACTATTTCAAGGGGTCGCTGCGTTGATTGGTTCACCTCTCGCAGGTATTTATACTGATTTATTTTATTTTATTTTTCCTTTAAACCCAACAGTCTTTTACTTATAATTAGTTAATAATCAATAATTTTAGCAGAGCTATTAAATTTCTTACTTATCATTCAACTCTATATCCAGAATCAAATAAATCATGTAAATTTTAATCAATTAAACTAACAACTGAAGAAATAAAGTTTTCTTTTTAAGTAACTTTTTTGTTGAAAAAAATTTTTTTAAACTTGGAAAAAAAAACTTTTGATCAAAATTCACAAATTGTCTACCTAAATTTTTGTGTTCTAAATCAAAAAATTTTTTTTCAACAAGAAGTTACTTTAAAAAAATTTTATTTCTTCAATTAAGTAATAAAAATGTTGAAAATTTTTTAACAAATTAAATTTTTTGTCGCAACAACGCTCAGTTAAAAAATATTTTTTTTTCTCTCACTGTAAAATTTCTTTTTATTGATTAATTTATTTATTTCTTGTTAATATTAATTAATTAATATTTCTTCTTTAGATATTTAAAATATTAATATTAATTTTTTTTTTAATATTTAGGAGCATTAATGGAAGCTACTGGGACTTACGACGCCTCTTTTTACCTATCAGGTACCTTAATACTCTTATCAGCAGTAATCTGTTATCCACTTAAGAGAATAAACGACTGGGAAAAGCGACGCAAGACTGCCCAACCAGATCTTGAGAGCTCTTGATTTTATTTTATAATTAAAATTAAATCAATAATAGGGAAGACTGCTAGCTGGCTCCATTGCATTATTATTATTATTGTGATTAATAATAATACTATAAATACTATTAATATCTGTAATTAGTATTTAATTAAAGGACTAATTGAAAGTAGTCCAATTAACTGCATTTATTTAAATCATTCACTCGAAGATGATGTTAATAAATTGTGTGTAAATATTTTTTGTTTATAAAAAATATTTATTGAATACGTCAGTCAGTTGGATCGATTATATAAATATAAATATAATTTTAATTATTAAGTGCTCAGTGCACTTAATTGTAAATATTAAAGCCTAGAAATTAAGTTAATTATAATTAACGGGCATTGAGAGTATAATATTTAATTAAATAGCTCTTTTTATTTATCAATTATTGGATTTCAATAATTAATTAATAGACTTATTGATTATTAATTATTAACAAATTATATTGTATGTTACTGTAATGGATTAAGAGTTTGATTGAGATTTTAAAATAATTTTATTATGTAAATATTCAATTTAGAGATTAATAAAGATGTTATTTTTCCAAAGAATTATTTATCTTTTATTTTTTTAACATTAAAAATTTAATGTAATTTATTTTAAGATAAATTTTTAGAATTACTAAAGCCAAAGGATCTCTATACGCTCTTTTGGCTTTAAGATAAATTTTCTCTAAGCCAAAAGAGCGAAGAAAAAAAATAGATTTTTATTACAAAAGGTCGGCAAAAAGCTCGAAAAATAAATAATACTAAGGTTAGCCGACGTTTTTAATTTTTTCATTTTTTTTATCATTAAATTAGAACTAAAAAATATTTTTTAAAAATTCCACTTGGAGTTTTTAAAGTTTTTTACAAATGAAAATTTTTTTTTATTTTTTTGTAATAATTTTTTCAATAAAAAAAATTCTAAAAATTATTAGATGTCGGCTAACTTAATTTTCATGAAAAATAAAGCTAGATCAAAATAATACTCAGGGTATGAAGATCAACTAGAGATACAAAGGTACCCAATCGATTAATAAGACAATTAAATTCCAATAAAAATTTCTACGCCCTTTTGGCTTTAGATCACTAAATTTTTTAATTTCTAAAGCCAAAAGGGCAAATATTTTTATAAATACGCCCTTTTGGCTTTTGAAAATTTTTTTTTCTATTTTTAAGTCTTAGAATTTGCTTGCAAAGATTGGCAAAAAAAATTTTACTACGCCTTCTTGGCTTTAGATCACTAAAATTATTAGATGTCGGCTAACTTAATTTTCATGAAAAATAAAGCTAGATCAAAATAATACTCAGGGTATGAAGATCAACTAGAGATACAAAGGTACCCAATCGATTAATAAGACAATTAAATTCCAATAAAAATTTCTACGCCCTTTTGGCTTTAGATCACTAAATTTTTTAATTTCTAAAGCCAAAAGGGCAAATATTTTTATAAATACGCCCTTTTGGCTTTTGAAAATTTTTTTTTCATTTTTAAGCTTAGAATTTGCTTGCAAAGATTGGCAAAAAAAATTTTCTACGCCTTCTTGGCTTTAGATCACTAAATTTTGAAGTTCCTCAAGCCAAAAGGGCGTATAATTATAAACAGACATCCTTTGACTAACAAAAATTTTTTTATGAAAATTAAATTACCCATTGAAAATTTTTAGAATTTTTTTATTGAAAAAATTGACATTTAGAAAATTTTAAAAATTTCAAGTGCAATTTTTAAAAAATATTTTTTTACTATGATATTAATTTAAAGTTACCAGTCACTTGACAATTTTTTAATTTTATTTAACAAAAAATTATTTTTAAAAAATTGCATTTTTTATTTTTACAAATTTCTACATGTCAATTTTTTTGGCCATAATTTATTTGTTATAAAATTCTTAAATTTATTAAATAAATGCTAAATTAATTTTAATTTGTCTACTTACAATTTTTATTGATGAAAATAATCAAAGCTTGTCAAACGTCTTCTAATTTTACCACTTTTTTTTTTCTTAGTTTTAAGGTTAGAATATATACCTACTTACAAATTCACCGCGAAAAATTAATAACAAACTACAGCGCTTTTAAATTTGCCGGGAAATATTCTAGTATTCAAAGTATCCGCTAGGGGCGCTGAAGCTAGTCGCATTTTTTGGCGCGATCGTCATTTGTTCAGTATAATCTTTAGTATCAAATATCAACTTGTCCAAGCGTTTAATTTTTAATTAACACAATAAATAAATAAATAACTATTAATTATTTATTAGTAATTATTATTAAATAAATATTAATTTAATTGATTTTAAAAATGTCAGAGATTAATAAAAAAGTTATGGAAGATATTATTGAAGTGTCAAGCTCAACTGAAACTGAAAATTCCGAAGACGCCGTTGCTGACGCCGAAATGCAGCTTGATGTTGAAGGTGTTGAATACAAAAGAATAAAAAAAACTGATCAAGAAATCCAAGAAGAGGTTAATGTCGAACAAGTTGATGAAAAAATGATTGAAGTGAATTTATTCATCAATGCCGCTCCAGAGATCATTCAGGTAATTTTTAAATATTTACTACGCAGTTAATTTTTTTTTTTAAGCTCTCAATTAAAATATTGGTGATTGTCAGGTACCGTACAAGTTAACAATTGGTGAATTAAAAACTGAAATAAATAAAAAAGTCAATGTTGATTTTGATCAACACCGCTGGGTCGTCGGTCAGCTGCTGCCGGCTGATGAATTGATGACACTGGAAGCGCTTCAGGTTTCACCCATTCCAAGATCGATTTCATTGTTTCGACTAAGTAATAATTTGAAGCCTGGTGAGTTTAATTTTTTTCATTTAGTCGCTGATTTATTTTATGAAAATTGTTTTTATTTTATTTCAGTTGAAGCTGATAAAAATGTAGTCGACAAAATGATTCAGAATCAGTACGCGGAAGATAATCATCTTGATAACTTGGTAAGTTCATTTTAAAATTTAAAGTTCACTATATTTGTTTCTTATATTATTATTATTATTTTTATTAATTATTTATTTTGAATTTTAATGCTGTAATCATGATATAATTTTTTTTTGTTTTTATTAATTATTTATATTTTGTTTTATTGTTATAATTATTTTTCAATTTTTATTAATTATTTATCATGAATTTTAATGCAATATATTTTAAAAAATTTTATACATTATTTAATTATTTATTTTGTATTTTATTGCTATAATTATTTTGTAATTTTTATTAATTATTTATTCTAAATTTTATTGCTATTTATTATTATTATTATTATTATTATTATTATTATTGTTTTTATTTTTATTATTTATTTTGAATTTTGAATTTTAATGCTATAATCATGTTATAATTTTTTTTGTTTTTATTAATTATTTATATTTTGTTTTATTGTTATAATTATTTTTTAATTTTTATTAATTATTTATCATTAATTTTAAAGCAATATTTTTCAATAATTTGATATAATTATTTTGTAATTTTTATAAATTATTTATTTTTTTTAATGCAGGTTATTGTTGAAGGAGAGCGTGACTGTTTTGAAGTAGGAGAAGCTTGTGCTTTACCAGAACCAGAAATCACTAAAATAAAAAAAGATGATTCCGAGTACAAAGAATTAATCAAGCTGGAGGAATATGAGGCTGTCCCGAATTTAAACGTCTTTGAATGTCCAATTTGCTTCGTTTTTTATGAACCGTTTCAAGGGGTTGTTTTGCGAGATTGTTTGCATTCTTTTTGCAGGTATTCTATTTTTTTTTTTCTTTACAATTTATAATTATATTTTTTTAGTTAATTAATTTATTAATTTTTTAGAGAATGTATTGAGAGAAATGTTAAGTTAAACGATGATTTTGAAGTTAAGTGTCCATTCGCTGATGGTACTTATGCATGCCAATCAATTTTACAAGAAAGAGAAATTAAAGCAGTAAGTTGTTTTTAAATTTATTTTTATAAAATTTTTTTTTTTTTTTAGTTTTACTGCACAGTACTTTAGTTGATGAATAAAATTTTTATTTAACTACTGTTTTATCTAAATCATTTAACTAATTTAGTGGCTAAAGTATTAAAGATACAAAAAATCATACAAGGCCTTTTTTATAGAAAATTCTATTTTCTACTGAAAAGGTTTTTATCAATTTCAGCATATCTTCCGACCCTTAGCAAGAATTTTTAAAATAAAAACTCAAATTTTTACCGCTATATCTTCTTTTTTTTTTTAAGCTTTTGGGAAAAGATTTGTACGACAAACATTTGGAAAAGTCACTGAAGCATGCCGCATTGACAAGCCCAGAATCATTTAATTGTCGAACAGCTGATTGTGATTACTGGTGCCTGCGTGACAAAGACCTTAATCATTTTTTGTGTCCTAAGTGTGAAAAGACTAACTGTCTTACTTGTGAGGTAATTTATTATTATTATTTATATTATTAAGACAATAAGAAAAATTTTGTGTCATTACAAAGGTCTAGACGTGAATTTGTGCCTTTTCAAGGTTTCATATTATTATCACCGATATTCAATTTATTATGATAAATATTTAGGCTGCATTCGAAAATTCTATATCTCTAGATACATAACTAAGAAATGACCTTTTATCTTGTGAAATATTGACATTTTTAAAAATATAAGCTCACCTTGACATCACAGTCACCGAGACCTTTCATTTGACTACCCACATCAATTTTTCATATATTTATACATATAATATATTATATATATATATGTATATATGAAAAATATATCAAAAATTCATATGGGTACTCAAATGAAAGCTCTTGATGAGTGTAACATCGGGATGAGCTTATATTTTTAAAAATGTCAATAATTAAGAAATTACCTTGTATTTTGTCAACTATTGACATTTTCAAAGATATAAGCTTATCACGACATTACACTCATCGAGACCTTTCATTTGAGTACCCACATCAATTTTTCATATATTTATATATATTATATATGTATATATGAAAAATATATAAAAAATGCAAGTGGGTACTTAAATGAAAGCTCTTGATGAGTGTAACATCGGGATGAGCTTATATCTTTGTAAATGTCAATATTTAAGAAAGTACAGTGCAATTTAACAAAAGTAATTATTTAAGAAAGCAAAATTTTATTCACAAGTCACGGCAGTCATGTAGTGACTGCAAAATTGCTAGTTATTATATTATAAATTTATATTATGGAAATCTAATTAATTTATTAATTATAAAATTATGATTAATTAATTAATTTAGGTAATCCATGAAGGCCGTACTTGCTTTGAATACCAGGACGACCTCGTAATTGCAAATAATACCGACGAAGCTAAGCGCCGTACTACTGAGCAGGTAGAAAATATGATAAAAACTCGAGAAGCTATGCCGTGTCCAAATTGCGGGATCATTTTGACCAAAATCGAGGGCTGTGATGGTATGAATTGTACAGTTTGTAAAACAGCTATTTGTTGGGCTACTCGCGGACCTCGTTGGGGACCTGGAGTATGTTTTATAAAAACCTATTATTATGATTATTATTATTTTATAATTATATAATAGAATAAATATAAATAATTGATAACATTAAACTTTTTAGGGTAAAGGAGACAAATCGGGTGGCTGCAAATGCGAACCATATGCGAAATGTCACCCAAACTGCCGCAACTGCCATTAAAAAATTGAATAAATAATTTTTTAACGTGAACAAATTTTATTGTTATTAATTAATTGATAATGAAGAATTATAAAGATTATCAGTTATCCTTATCCTTATTAGCGATTGCTTCTAATCGCGAGACAAAAGTTGAAGGATGATGATTTAATTGCCGGCAAAGATTCGCGCCTGCTGCTGTCTGGATAGTCTGGACTAATTTTGCGCGTTCCAGATCGAGGTTCATGGAACCGTACTTCATAAAGTCCTTGATGTTCAAGAGGACTCCGTCCAGGATTCCAGCTGCAAAAGGTTTTTTTTTTTTTTAATTAATTTTAATATTAATATTAATAATAATAATTCGCGTGATAAATGTCAAAAAAGCATGCAAACATTTTTTTCTGACAATTATTGATAGTATATTCTAAGCTTTGAATTAAAAAAAAAAAAAAGATACTAAAATTAGCAGACATTGGACAAGCTTTGATTTTTTTAATCAATAAAAATTGTAAGTAAAAAAATTGCAATTAATTAAGCATGTGTTTAATTAAATTTAAGAATTTTATAACAAATAAATTATGGCAAAAAAATTGACATGTAGAAATTTATAAAAATAAAAAATGCAATTTTTTTGAACAAATTTTTTTGTTAAATAAAATTAAAAAATTGTCAAGTGACGGCTAACTTTAATGTCATAGTAAAAAAATATTTTTTAAACATTGCACTTGAAATTTTTAAAATTTTCTAAAAGTCAATTTTTTCAATAAAAAAAATTCTAAAAATTTTCAATAGGTAATTTAATTTTCATAAAAAAATTTTTGTTAGTCAAAGGATGTCTGTTTATAATTATACGCCCTTTTGGCTTGAGGAACTTCAAAATTTAGTGATCTAAAGCCAAGAAGGCGTAGAAAATTTTTTTTGCCAATCTTTGCAAGCAAATTCTAGGCTTAAAAATGAAAAAAAAATTTTCAAAAGCCAAAAGGGCGGATTTATAAAAATATTTGCCCTTTTGGCTTTAAAAATTGCCAATCTTTGCAAGCAAATTCTAGGCTTAAAAATGAAAAAAAAATTTTCAAAAGCCAAAAGGGCGGATTTATAAAAATATTTGCCCTTTTGGCTTTAAAAATTAAAAAATTTAGTGATCTAAAGCCAAAAGAGCGTAGAAATTTTTATTGGGATTTAATTGTCTTATTAATCGATTGGGTACCTTTGTATCTCTAGTTGATCTTCATACCCTGAGTATTATTTTGATCTAGCTTTATTTTTCATGAAAATTAAGTTAGCCGACATCTAATAATTTTTAGAATTTTTTTTATTGAAAAAATTATTACAAAAAAATAAAAAAAAATTTTCATTTGTAAAAAACTTTAAAAACTCCAAGTGGAATTTTTAAAAAATATTTTTTAGTTCTAATTCAATGATAAAAAAAATGAAAAAATTAAAAACGTCGGCTGACCTTAGTATTATTTATTTTTCGAGCTTTGCCAATCTTTTGTAATAAAACCTATTTTTTTTCTTAAGAAAATTTATCTTAAAGCCAAAAAGGCATATAGAGATCCTTTTGGCTTTAGTAATTCTAAAAATTTGTTTTATATTGATCTTGACGTTTTGAATAATTTTTTATTAAATGATAGTTACCCATAAGAATCATGTGCGGATTCTGCTTTAAAATTTTCATCAAAACAGGCACATTAGGCTCCGCACTGAAAATAATTCTTGCTGGAGAGCAGAACAGGGGCATCACTGCTTCAAACCTTGAGTTCTCCAGCGCCAATTTGTAGATAGACTTTCCGTAATACTTTAGGTACATATTAGATTTGCGAAGCTGGATTCTCATGTCGAGCTCGTCTCTCGCCTTGGTGGGGTTCATGTGGAGAAATGCGATCATACGGGAATTGTTGTACCAGTTCAAGCATTCTCTGGCGAGAATCTGGTCGTAAGGATGCGGAGCTTTCAAGGCTTTATCTTTCTTGTTGGCATTCTCGCAGAGCTCCCAGATTGGTGTTGGTGGACGTGTCGCCGGGTAGAATGGTGTCACGAATTCGTGCACTACTGCACGAGTGTAGTGCAATTTTTTAGGCTTGGTGATATTTATTTTTCCACGGAATCGCTTTTGGACCACGTCGACTTGCTGACGGATTTTTAGAATTACTGAAATTTAATAATTATTTAGAAAGTTTATAAAAATAATTTTTTTTTTTTTACTTGGATCCTTAATTATTATTTCCAAGTTAAAAAAAATTTTTTAATTAATTAATTAGATTTATTTTAAGTATTCAGATCTTGAATTTTTTTTTTTGAGTACTAAATATCTTAAAATTAAATTACATTGAACAATTTATAAAATAGTAATAAATTAATTTATTTAGAAGAAAATTTATTAATAAATTTTTTTTTGTAAAAAAAAAAATTTTATCAGCTAATTTACACTAAAAAATATTTTTTAATCAGTTATTAGTATTTATAATTAAGAAATGACCTTGTATCTTGAGAACTATTGACATTTTTAAAGATATAAGCTCATCTCGATGTTATATTCATCGAGACCTTTCATTTGAGTACCCACATCAATTTTTCATATATTTATATATTTCATAAATATCAAATATATAAAATATATAAAAAAAATCATGTGGGTACTCAAATGAAAGATCTCAATGAGTGTAACATCAAGATGAGCTTATATCTTCAGTAACATTATTAGGTGACAAGATATAACATAATTTCTTAATTATTAATATTTTTAAAGATATAACCTCATCTTGATGTTACACTCATCGAGACCTTTCATTTGAGTACCCACATGCAATTTCATATATTTTTCATATATATATTTATAAAATATATATAAATATATGAAAAATTGATGTGGGTACTCAGATGAAAGGTCTCGATGGTTGAAACATCGGGATGAGCTTGTATCTTTAAAAATATCAATAGTTCTCAAGATACAAGCTCATTTCTTAATTATGTATCTAGAGATAGAGAATTTTTGAATGTAGCCTAAATAAATTTTTTAAGAGTTGGAAAAAATTTTGACTTTCATATTTTTAGACAAAATTTCTATTTTATCCTTTTTTGATACATTTTTTATTTGAAATGTACATAAAAAGACGAACAATTTAAAAAAAATAAGTTGAAGATCACAATTTTCTAAAAAATTTATAAATTTTTTTGAAAACTTGTTAAAATTGTGCTAAACTTTTTTTTTTTAAATTGTTAATTTTTTATGTATTTAAAAAAAAATATCAATAAAATCAAACAGAAATTTCATTGAAAAAAATGAAAATTAAAATGGTTGACTCTACTTGTAAATATTTATCTACATTTTTAATAATTTTTTTCAACTATTAAAAAATATTAATTAAATAATCAAATGATCAAAAATTATTTTTTAATTAATAAAAATTCAAATAAATTTTTTTTCAATTATTAAACAAGTATCAATAATCTTAATAAATTTCATTTATTAACATTTAAAAATCCTTATTTAATAAACAATTAACAACAAAAATTTACAAAATTAAAAAAGAATATTAAATATTCTATAAATCTAAAAGAAAAAACCCCAAAAAATTAGTGCTAAAAAAAATACGTATTTATTCAATAACATGATTCATGTACATGTCCAATAATTAATAATGTTAATTAAATCGAGTAAAAAACAAAAATAATAAATCTACCTAGATATAAATATATACACTAGTAATATTCGATTAATACTAAAAAAATGTCTTTTACAAAAAATCCACCATCTAAAACTAATCAATACATATATAATAAAATATATATATATATATATAAGGCACTTTGGAACGTTTTGATAATACCTAGTTCTTACACCTACTGAATGTAATTGATCGTTCCACTCATATAATTATTATTATCCCTCGAGTCAATATTATCCCCTAAATTAAGACTCTTGCGATTCTTAACCAGTCTCAAAATCGCAGAAACTTTTCCCTTCTTCTTGCTCCTTTTATCCAGCGCATTAAGGGAAGCCTGTTTAACATCTCCCCTAGAATTATCGAAGCCCCCTTCTTCCCTTCCTTGAGAATAAAAAGTATTCCCATCATCCACCAACCAATGCTTCCTGGGCTTCATAACCTGTAGCTCCGTCTCATTAGCCTTTTTCTCAAAGCGCCGCCTGGTGGCTTCAAAGGAAGTAGATTCTGTTACCACTCCGCTTTCATTTCCCGGATTGATCTCCCTAGAAACTGCAGCTGCTGCCACTTCCGCAGAAGGCGGCTTGTCTTCATCTTCCTTATTCTCCTTTAACTTCTTATTCCGCTTATAAGTATCCGTATTTTTAGCGTCTAACGTTGCGTGTCCTTTCTCGGACATGCTCTGTCTCCCCACAGCATCTCTAGCAAACTTCCCTGAAGATTCAGGAAACTCCAGCGACAATTGGCTATCATAAGTCGGATCGTCCGTATACTGACTGTCTTTATCCGAAGCTCTTTTCTCATTAGAATCCTCTAACAAAATATTTTCCGCTCGAGTGAACAATTTGTGGCTCATAGATTCCCTCCAGGTCTTATTGGTAGCCAAACAATAGCTCTCATTTCTAGAATTCTTATTATACTGCTCAGTAAGTCTATCAATAACCGGATTCCAAACGGGACTTAGATTCCCATTATCCAAACCGTCTCTCCCTTCCTTATCATCAATATAAATACTGTTAGCGGTTTCCACCTTGCAGCCACCCAATCCACTAATCAACTCCTCTTGGTATACCTTATCCTCAAAATTCCCCGAGACTTGCCTCGCAATCTTTAGACTAATTATCCCAGTGGTAGCACTCTTGCTATTGATCATCGCCCGCCTTAAGGTATCCATAGCTGCAGAATTACTCAACCCTAACAAGGATTCCCCATTAATCTCTAGTAACTGGTCATTGGTCATCAACCTTCCGTCCCTAGAAGCAGCGCCACCATGCAGAACGCTCTTAATAAATATCCCTAGGTCATGATTCAAGTTAGGATCATTGGAAGTCTTTCCTTTAACACTAACACCCAATCCTGCTTTTTCGGAATCAAAAACTGGAATGTCTAAGTTAATATGCTTAACTTTCTTCTTAGGGGACTTAAGAACTTCAATCTTTTCTTCCCTTTCTTTACTGGGTGAGGAATTGGGTGTCTTCCACCTAGATTCTTGAACAGGTTGGATAGCCTGTTCTCTTTGTCCAGAGTTACAATTGTAATCGTTTAGGTTACTAGAGCTATCTTCTTGTCTAGAAACTACAATTCTAACCTTGCCTCCTGGAGGAATGTTCCTTAGAAAATTAACCACCTCATCCTGGCTCTTGCCAGTCATCTCAATATCATTGACCTTAAGCAACCTATCTCCAGATTTAAGCTGTCCGTCATTGACCGCAGCGCCTTTAGTCAGGATATTCTTAATGTAAATCGGCATATGACCACCGGCTGGGTTGTCTCTAGTGGTTACACTGAACCCCAAGCCGTCGCTGCCTTTAGTAAGCTCAATTTCAATCATCCGCCCAATTTTTCTAGTGTTAGCACTCTGTAGGACATTGTAAGAAGAAATCTTCTTTTGCGATTCCTCAGGTTCAGACTTTTTAGCCTTAACTACCGAAATTTTCAAACAGGGGTCGTTGGTGCAAGACCTGAGGATCTCCTGGACCTTTTGGAAGTGCAACCTTAGCAAATTCTGCCCGTTAATCCCAATAATCTTATCATCAACTTCAATTCTCCCATCTTTGGCTATCCTGCCATTAGGATAAACCTTCTGGACCTTCAATCCTTGGTCATTACCCTGAAGATCATAGCAGGGCATCATATCAACCCCAAGGAGCCCAGGTTCGTTCTTAATTACAATCTCCTGGACCTCAGTACGCTCCGGACGCTCAAAAGATGGCGCGTCTTGGCCTAAGGGCTCGCGCCTGCGTAATTCGCGGGGAAGCGACAGCGCGTTGTAAGCCATATGCTCTCTGTTAGATAGAGCGTGCATTGATAGTCTCTTTACGCTCTCGCGCTTTATGTTACCCAGGGTACGGTGGTCACGGTAGCGCACTTCTTTATCCCCGAAGAAGTCCGGGCTGTTTGTTCCAACGGAACTTGCTCCGTCGCCGTGGTTATCTCCCGTGGCTAGGTGCGCGATTATCTGCTCCCGGTCGTCCGCTACGTCGCACAATCTGTCGTCAGGGTCCAGTAAACCTCCGCCGGTCAATGAGGAGAGGCTTGTTATCACTGGACCGTCTGTTGATAATTTTCCTGTTGCTTTACGGTAACGGATTATTGCTTCGCGCATCAGGTCTTTTACTAGCAAGCTGCCGTCCCCGCATGGGACCACTACCCTAACACTGTCGAAGCAAACTGTTACCTTCATTTTTTCATATTTAATTAATTTTTTTTTTTTTAATTTTTATTAGTGTCTTTAATTTTTAGTTTTTTTTTCTCATTCAATTATTAAAAAATTTTTTTTCTAACTTGCACTTATTTTTTAATTTTTTACAAATTAATTTTTAAGCTGCACTTTTTAAATATTAGTTTTTTGTTCTCATTAAATTATTAAAAAAATTTTTTTTCTAAGCTGCACTTTTTTTTTTAATTTTTTTTTAAGTTGCACTTATTTTGTAAATTGTTTTTTTATTTTTCTGATATTTTTTAATAAAAAAAAATTGTTTTTTATTTCTTAATTTTTTTACAAATGAAAAATTTAAAAAATTTTTCTGAGATTTTTTTTTTGTAAAAAAAAATTGTATTTATTTTTTTTTCATAATAATTAATGTCTTTAATTTTTAGTTTTTTTTTCTCATTCAATTATTAAAAAATTTTTTTTCTAACTTGCACTTATTTTTTAATTTTTTTACAAATTAATTTTTTTTTAAGCTGCACTTTTTTTTAAATAAAAATTTTTTTTAATTATTAGTGTCTTTAATTTTTAGTTTTTTGTTCTCATTAAATTATTAAAAAAATTTTTTTTCTAAGCTGCACTTTTTTTTTTAATTTTTTTTTAAGTTGCACTTATTTTGTAAATTGTTTTTTTATTTTTCTGATATTTTTTAATAAAAAAAAATTGTTTTTTATTTCTTAATTTTTTTACAAATGAAAAATTTAAAAAATTTTTCTGAGATTTTTTTTTTGTAAAAAAAAATTGTATTTATTTTTTTTTCATAATAATTAATGTCTTTAATTTTTAGTTTTTTTTTCTCATTCAATTATTAAAAAATTTTTTTTCTAACTTGCACTTATTTTTTAATTTTTTTACAAATTAATTTTTTTTTAAGCTGCACTTTTTTTTAAATAAAAATTTTTTTTAATTATTAGTGTCTTTAATTTTTAGTTTTTTGTTCTCATTAAATTATTAAAAAAATTTTTTTTCTAAGCTGCACTTTTTTTTTTAATTTTTTTTTAAGTTGCACTTATTTTGTAAATTGTTTTTTTATTTTTCTGATATTTTTTAATAAAAAAAAATTGTTTTTTATTTCTTAATTTTTTTACAAATGAAAAATTTAAAAAATTTTTCTGAGATTTTTTTTTTGTAAAAAAAAATTGTATTTATTTTTTTTTCATAATAATTAATGTCTTTAATTTTTAGTTTTTTTTTCTCATTAAATTGTTATTAAAAAATATTTTTTTTTTAAATTAAAATTTGTTTTTAAAATTTGCACTTATTTTTTAATAAAAAATATTTTTTTATTTTTTTTTAATAAAAAAAAATTATTAAAATTTTTTTTTTTTCGAAGGAACTTTTTGACACTTGATTAATTTATTAAGCACTCACTTAATTGTTTTTAAATAATAATAATTATTAAATAAAATACTTCAACTGGAGGATAAGAACACACTTGTATGTCACGGACAAGAAAGTTAACCCAAGGTGGGAATTTATTATTCTAAACGTGGTATGGCTTTTTTTTATGAATCACAGTTGACATTGCCTGACTTCCATATTAATTCACCACACCTGTTTCTGCAAATATAAATTATTTTTTTAGAAAATATTTTATTGGATAATTATATCCACAAAATAATAAATAAATTTTACTTACGGGTTTTAAAGCTTCGATCACTTTTTTAGGTTTTTAATACTTTTTTAACGGACAGATAAATACGAGACGCACACGCTAGCAGCCATTTTGTTTCAAGTCCGTTCCTTGATTTTGTGGGTTGGATATATATATATATATATATGTGTTTATAAGTATAGTTTGAGGGGATTTGTTTTTAAAATGGCGGAACAAAGCGAAAAAAAAATTCGGCGAAATTTATAGAGATTATTAAATAATGTATTTTTTATTTTTTTGGAGTACTTACCTCGAGAGGATGACAGTGCCATGGTGAACCGGGTGAAAAAGAATGTAGTTTGATCACGTTGTGATGACAATTGATTATTTAGGAGTATTATTGCGGACAACCGCTCTGCTGCATCCTTTTTTACTGAAGAGTCCCGTTCTACTGTTCCTAAGTTTTGTTTTTTTGAGTAATTTTATTTTTTTTTTATTTTTTTAATCAATAAAAAATTTATTTATTTTATTTTAATTTATTTTTGTAATTTTTGACAGTTTTTTTATTTTTATCTTGTATAGATTGATTTTCTGAGAATTTGGTTTTGCGCATGCACAAACCCGCGAAAATTTAAATTTAGAATCATGGAATTTAATTATGATAAAAATTTAGTTTTTTTTTAAATAATTTAATGAGAAATAACAAAAAAATTTTTTTTAAAATATAATAATAAAGTTAGACATTTTTATTTTTTGATTTAGTTTAATTTATTATTAATTTAAAACTAAAGAAATTTTTTTTTAATTGCATTTACAGTTTTTCAAATTTTTTACAAAAAAAAATTTTTTTGTAATGATTTTTTCAATAAAAAAAATTCTAAAAATTTTTAAATGTCAGCTAATTTTGTTTCATATTTAATTATCTAACTACTAATATATTTTATTGTTAAAAAAAAAATGAGATTTTTTTTAAATTGTTCAATTAAAGTTTGCAAACAATTTTTTCTAATAATTTTATTTTAAGAAATTATATAGTTATTAATTTAGAATTATGTAAAAAAATATTTTTAAAAAATTGTAGGTATAGTTTTTTAAATTTTCTACATGTTAATTTTTGTATAAAAAAATTCTAAAAATTTCTAAATATCCGATAATTTTGTTTTTATATTTGATTATCTAAACAATTTTATTTTTATATTTAATTATCTAAATAATATTATTTTTATTGTTAAAAAAATTGGATTTTTTTTATTTTATTTAATTAAAATTTGTTATTAATTATTTTTTAGTAATTTGATTTCAAATAATCATTTAATTTCAAACTTGTTTTTTTTTTTTATAACTTATTCTATTTTTTTTTAGAACTTATAAAAGACATTTGATAATTTTTAGAATTTTTTTAAATAAATAAATTAAGTATAGTAAAAAAAATTATTTAAAAAATTCCATCTTGCGAAGCTCTAAAAAATTATAAATGCAACTTTTTAAAATTATTTTTTATACCTAGTTCATTTAAAAAAAAAAAATAAAAAAAGTATCTCCTAATTTCAGAGTTATAATTAAATAACATTAAATATTATTGCCGTAAAAATTTTATTATAGTAAATTTCAATTTTTCAATTTCTACTTAAAATTAATTAACAAAAAAAAATCATTAAAAACTTTTTTTTTATAAAAATAATTTGGCAACGATAGAATTAAAATAATTACACCAAAGTAATAATAATAACATTAATGAAAATTACTTATTATAATCACTATTTTTTAAATATTGATAAACGACACTAAAATCTTTGTCTTTTAGACCGTGAGTCATAAGAATGCGATAAATTTGGTGAGCTAATGATCCAAGAGGTATTGGAGTGTTGGAGCGTGTCGCAGCTGCTTGAGCCAACCCCAAGTCTTTGGTCATCAATGAAGTCATGAATCCGCCCTGCAAAATAATTTTTCATTAATATTAATTCTAATATTTAAATGAATAAAAATTAAATATAAGAATTAAGAATAAAATACTTGATATTGATTAGAACTGGGAACTGTAGAAATGATCCCAGGAACTGGAGGATAAATTTCCGAAGACCAGCAGCGGCCGGTGCTGGTGTTAAGTATGCTTGTCATTACTTTTGGATCCAGTCCTAATCTGTAATTAATTATAAAATTATAAAATTAATTACAGGTTGTATAATAAGTAATAATAGCAATCTTGCAGTCACTATGTGACTGCCATGACTTGTTAACTATAAATAAATAAAATTTTGCTTTATTAAATAATAACTTTTGTTAAATTGCAATGTACTTTCTTAAATATTGACGTTTTTCAAGATATAAGTAAGCTCATCCCGATGTTACACTCATCAAGAGCTTTCATTTGAGTACCCACATGCATTTTTGATATATTTTTGATATATATATATATATATATATATGAAAAATATATCAAAAATGCATGTGGGTACTCAAATGAAAGGTCTCAATGAGTGTAACATCGGAATGAGCTTATATCTTTAAAAATGTCAATAGTTCACAAAATACAAGGTCATTTCTCAATTATTGACATTTTTAAAGATATAAGCTCATCCCGATGTTACACTCATCAAGAGCTTCCATTTGAGTACCCACATGCATTTTTGATATATATATATATATATTTTGATATATATATATATATACATGAAAAATTGATGTGGGTATTCAAATGAAAGGTCTTGATGAGTGAAACATCGAGATGAGCTTATATCTTTAAAAATGTCAATAGTTCATGAGATACAAGGTCATTTCTTAATTATGTATCTAGAACTAGAGCATTTTCGAATGCAGCCTAAATACTTATAGATAAAGAAGAAAAGTTAATTACTTGTCGGCAAGATTGACCACTTCGGAGACTCCAATCATGCTGATAGCCAGCAGCATGTTATTGCAGAGTTTCGCGACCTGGCCCATGCCTACATCTCCGCAGTGGACTACCCGACTGCCCATTGCTTCTAGCAGAGATTTCGCGCGTTCATACTGATCTTTTGGACCACCAACCATGAATGTCAGCGTGGCATCTCTCGCTCCTACTACACCACCTGATACTGGGCCGTCGATAAATTTTGCTCCGTGCTTGTGAGTTTCTTCAGAGACTTTTTGAGATACTGAAGGGTCTATTGTGCTGCTGTCAATGAACAGTGTGTCTTTTTGCAGCGAGCTGAAAAAAGAAAATTATTTAGTATTTTATCTTTAAAAAAATAAATTTGAAGAATTTATTTAAAATTTTAATTAAAATTTAATTTTTTAATATAATTTTCTATAAAACTTGGATTTAATTAATAATTATATTTAATTCTATAAATTAAATATGTAAAATATTTCTTTTTAAGATATCATTAAAAACTTTAATTAAGTTTTTTATAAAAAATACTACTGGTCAGTATTTAAAACATAGACAATACAATTAAATGTTTATTGTTATGTTTATATAAAAAAAGAAAAACACTCGTTTCAGCTAATAAATTCTACCGATGAATTTACAAATAATATATTTATCTTAATTGGTTAATATTTAGAGCCTTTATATCCTAAGTCAATTTTTTTTCACCAATTATTTTGCAAAAATATTCTAATTTGTTCACTAAAAAATTATGTTCGAATTTTTTAAAAACTTCTATTAAATCTTGATTGGTTTTTAAAAAAAAAATTTTTTATTTTAAATTAAAAAAAAAATATTTTTCATTCATAAATAATTACCTTAATAATCCATCTTTAGCAGTAAAAGAATCCCAAACGTGGTCATTAGTTGGCAGCATCGTAACAACAACTTGTGAATTTTTTGCCAAGTCAGCAGCACTTGCAGCTTCAGTTGCTCCTGCTGCTACCAAATTTTTCACCGCGGATTTATTAATGTCATAGACGGTTAGCTTATATCCCTAAATAAATAAATAAATAATTTAAAAAAAAATATATATTTTAAAAGAAAAAAAAAATTACCTTTTTAATTAAATTAGTAGCCATGTAATTTCCCATATTGCCCAAACCGACGAAACCAACATTGGAAAAATTACGACGACCTGCTAAATTAATTATTAATTAATTAAGTAATTAATTTATAAATTATTGCAGAAACTTACCAATAAAAGGGACCCGTAATTTGTGTAAAATATTAATCGCCATATTTTAATTTAATTTAACAATTGTAAAAAAACCCAAAGTGAAATTAAAATCCGCTCTGACCCAGTTAATTTGGACGACTAATTTATTCAGTACAAATGGTGATATTATCGCTGCTTAGTTGACTGAACTTTAAGTATAAGCGAGCGTCCGACTATTTAACTTAACTTAAATTGTATAATAGTATTTATGCTTATATTTTATTTCGCAAATTTATTTTAACTTTAATGGATCTTCTAAGCCGGAGAAAAAAAATGTATTCAGTATGATTAGATAAGAATTGCCACGCTCTGAAAATGACTGTATTATTATTATTTTAATTTATGTAGAAATATTTGTATAACAAATTTATATTTATAATTTCGCAATTCTACTGGATGAGTTATTAATTGACTGTTTGGAAGATCGAGAGTAAAAAGACCAGCCTTCGATAGTTTTATTTTTATTTTTATTCCTCCGGTTGAGCAAGTTTTATTTTTTATTCTTACTTTTTTTATCGATACGCTAGAGACGAGATTTAAATTATTGAATGTATTTTATCAATTATTGATAAGAAAGAAATTAGTTTTTTAATATTTATTAATTATAAATTTTGGTTTGTAATTTTTTTATAGATGTTTTTTTTCTTGAAGTTTATAAAATAAAATTAAGAAAATAAAAAATTTCAATTTTTAAGTTTTTTTATGCAAAAAAGCTAGATAGTGAAACTAAATAATTGCCAAGCTTGGAAGCAATTAATTGAAAAAATAACACCTATGTTTATTTTTAACAAAGTATTGATAAGTTTTAAATCAATGAGTCAGTACAATATCTAATAAATAGAGAAAATAATAACAATGTTGGATAAATCGATTTATTAAATGTTGATAAGTTATGTTGACTCAACTATGACGTTTGATGAAATTTTTATTCCCTAAAATAAATTGTTATCTTCTAGTAATTATTATTTTACTAATTTACAATTAAAAGAATCAAACTTTTAGATTAAACAATAATAAGTTTGAGTTTAATATAAATAATCAGCAAACAAATAATTTACAAATCATGTGAAGAAATATACAAAGTACATATAAGTACTTCTCGAGAACGAGTCGGTAAAATTAAATAGACTTTTTTGTAAATACAATTGACAACCAACATTATTATTCGACTTACAAACTAATTACCGCTAATATTTTAATTATCAATCAATAAAATTATAAAAATATATCGGTGTGTAATATACTTACCTACTTTAACCTTTCACCGTCGAAAATCCACTTTGTAACATCGTAACTTTGTAACTTTATAACTCCGTTAAATTTTTAATCGGCGTGCATCTAAAAAAATGATATTGTTAATAAATAAATACTAGCAGAAAATTTCATTTAAATAAAGAAGAATTATAAATTCGACAGATAAGTTTAACCTCTGTGAATTGAGGTTAGGAATTTCTTCCCAATTCCCGGCAAATTTTCTTATACTTTTTGAAGTTATACTTCTTTAGGCGCGTTATGAAAAATTGATGAGAGTAAAATTTTACGATGCGCGCGCACCGTGACACAAAATTAACAGAATGAAGTTGGCCACAGAATAGAATTAAAAGTATATATTTTTTTAAATGACTAAGTTAACTCATATACAGGTTAGTTGCAAAGTATCCAACGAAACGTTGTTATTTTCAAATTCGATAGAAATACCATTTAATATGAAATATATTATTCATATTAATAATCAATTCTAAAAAATGGTCAATTAAATATTTAGTTTTTATTTAACTTGATAATAATTTTCTTTTAATCAATATTTTTCCAAAAATAATAGTAATTTCATGAATTAAAATATTTAAACTAAAATATAAATATTGTAGTACCTATTATATTTAGATATCTTTTTATTGAGTTCATAATTTTTAATACAGACTCAATCATTTTGCTTATCGAATATAGTAATTCTATCCATATTTTTTTAAATTCATATTATAGACCATTTTCATAATTTTCCGGAATTTTGTTGGAAACAAAATCTAGTTTCGTACTACAATATCCACTCTTATAATTTAGATGAAAAATATGAAAATATATACATTGATGAAGACATTTTATTCGTAATGTGATTGGTCAAATATATCATAAGCATGAAAATATAGATAATTCCATACCAACATTCACACGCGCAACGTATACTAGTCCTCTATGTACTAAAATTGATGGTAGAATGAAGTTAGCTTAGTATCGAAATAACGTTCAGAATTAGAGCGCGCGCGTGTGCGCGCAATTTAAATTCCTAGTCCTAATATAAAATTTAGATGAAAAATATGAAAATATACATTGATGGAGACATTTTATTCGTAACGTGATTGGTCAAACATATCATAAGCATGAAAATTTAGATAATTCTATACCAACATTCACACGCGCGCTTGCGCGCGCAACGTATACTAGTTTGTCTTTTAATTCATGTATACATTATTTTTGAATAAATATTAATTAAAAAGATATTATCACTAAGTTAAATAATAAATAATAAATTATTTTATAAGAAACATAATATATTTTAAATAAATAATTAATGATACTAAAGTTAGCCGACGTTTTTAATTTTTTGATTTTATCTTTAATAATTAAATTAGAACAAAAAAATACTTTTTAAAAATTGCACTTACAGTTTTTGAAGTTTTTCACAAGTGAAAATTTTTTTTTATTTTTTTT